ACGCAAAAAAGTCACGATATTTATTTAAAAGCAATAACTACTTAGATGAGAATTTGATACACTATCACATACTCGATCACATACATGGCCCTTTAAATCAGCAATTGTATACTTTGACAGATTTAATTTATTAATTTCTTGAACACTTACCCCAGCTGCTTCAGGCATACACCTTTCGCCACGTGCTACGACTTTATTGACGTTAAAGCGTATGGGGTGCCTGGATATATTCAATACAGGAACATTGGCTTCGCTTGATGATATCACACATCTTGGAATCACGTACCTACTACGAGTTTGACTTGAACGATTTTCTGAGATCAATGAAAATATCGCCCGTGTAATTCTCGTTGGACGTTGTACATCGGACAATACCCACATGATTTGGCTGAATTTCTGAGCTTGTTTTGGCAACCAATCTAATTTTCTTGGATGGCTTTGGTGTAATTCAGCTATCTCGGAGCTGAATAGTCAGAATAATCGTACACCGCCTGGTTGGACGACTGTGATGGCGTTCTCTTTATTCAATTAAGATCTTCCAATAAGGACAGGTAGATTTTGTAAATTATCAGGCACAACAAATATGTCTACATGGGTTTCGAACAGATCGACACCTAGATCAGCGTGTGTTACTCCTAAGACTTTTGTAGTGCTACCTCCGTACTTATTAAGACAAACATCGCTCTCATTCCAGTATAGACCTACTTTTAGTGCATCACTCTCACTTATAATATCTATACTGCTGGAAACTTGAAGTTCCACATACAGATTTTTAGGCAAAATTCAATTTTATCGCCCCGTATATCCTAACCCTGCGATCCTATGAGAAATTTAGCTTTATCCGGAAAAAAACAGGCTATTAAAATCCACAAACCGCGTTAAAAAAAACTTTGTTCGTGTCGAAAATATGAAACTTTGAATTTTGTCTAAAAATCTATAGGTATATGTGAAAGTTAGAGTGTCCAGCAGTTTACTTCGTAGCCAGAATCAACAAAACCTTGCAGCTCCTGTCCATTTATACGACAAGTAACAATAATCAGCGACATCCGATTTCCATTCTGTGTTGCATAACATTGCTTTTCGGAGTGTTGGAGGCTTATCCTTTCGGCAATTGTTAGCTACATGACCTAATCTGCGGCATTTAGTACACTCCATACGTGGATGGGTGCACCCTCTCTGCATGTGACCCATTTGCTGACTATTGTATTTGATTGGTTTCGGTGTTCGTCGTTGGTGGCGAGCATTTTCATTTTTATTGTTAACTGGGATTTTTTTTCTAGAAGCTTCCTTGTCACGGTCACGTTTTGGTCCAGCCTCTTTTGCAATGGTTAATGTTGATAAATAATCCGCGTATAAACGCTCGGGGCTTTTGTAACAGCCTACTTTTTAGGTCTTGTATGCCGTCAATACTCATCGCAATAGCGTTTTTACCACTTATAGTCAATTTTGTCTAGCCATCTGCAGCAACTGGTATTCCTGTCATTCGGATCAAATTCGGGGATACAATCTGGTCTCATATAGACACTCTAACGCTAAGTTCTCTATCTTGTTGCAGAAGTGTATTAACCAGCTCCTCTAATTGGGCTATGCGTTTTTGTGACTGACTTTCGATTATTTGTGCACTTGAAGTACTGCATTGTGCAACATCTGCATCGATAACAGACACCGCACTTTTCATACTTGAGGCATCATGGCATCTATGGTTCTGAACACTAGTGTTTAATAATACGTCACTGTTTATACAAGTTTCAACAACAGGCGTGTATGAGCGTGTTCTAGATTCATCTACAGCCCGGTCTGCAAGATGTTCCTGCTGCCGTTGGCGAAGTGTAATGTTAACATTAACCCGCTGGCCACAATGTCTCTTTTGTCGAGAGTATTTATCTGTTTTCAATATACTTACAGTTTTTCGTCTGTGCTTTTTCCTACAATAACGCCCAGCACACTCAGTGTCACTAGTATCGTTACTTGAATTAGACGAGCTGCTTGAAAAACGGCGTCACCAAAAATTAAGCTATTCAACACCAAACAAAAAAAACATGGCTATAACATCACCATTATAGCAGCCTACGCTCCATCAGAGGACGAAAGAGTCGGCATTAAGCAGGAGTTCTTTGACAAATTGGATGAAGTCCTAGTAGATATTGGAAGAAATAGAGAAATCATAATGCTAGGGGATTTCAATGGAAGAACGGGAAGGACGAACAATAGCTCAGTTGTAGGACCATTTGGAGAAGAAATAATCAATGATAATGGCCAAAGGCTCATACATCTCTGTGAGACCCACAATCTTAGAATAAATAATGGATTTTTCAAACACAAAGATATTCACCGCTACACATGGATACAGAATACCCGTAACCTGAATAACTTGCGGGTCAGATCATTTTTTAGTGAGAGCCAAAATAAAGTTGCAATTTAGGAAAATGAACAAGAACCCAGAGGAACAAAACACCAATGCCATACTAACGGACACAGTGGATACAACAAATTATAATTTTGACAGTTTTAGAGATGACAGCACTGTATTTTTATATCAGAGGCGACTCGATAGCAAACTATTGAACCCTGAAGAATGTACCTTCAATAAACTCTATGAGAATATTATAGGGAGTCTAATAGAAGCCACCCAAGAAGCAATAGGAACGAAGGAAAAACTACCAACAAGAAATACTGGTGGAACGAGGAGATAGAGCTATTAGTCCAACAGAAGAAGCAAAAATATCTGAAATGGCTAACAACAAAAAATGAACAAGACCTTGAAGTTTATAAAGGCACAAAAAGACAACTAAAAACGTGCATCACTATAGCTAAGAACGAGTCATGGGATAAAAAATGTGAAGAAATTAACACCTACATAGGAGGAAGGAAATGCTCAGAGGTATGGAGATTTATATCAAATATCAAAAACCCAGGAAAAGACAGAGCTAATATCCAGATTATTAAACCAGACCAATGGGTAGAACATTACAAGTGTCTATTACAAGAAAGTAGACCGGAATATATATTAGATTCTCCAAGACATATTGAAGTACATGGAGAAGTAGTTGAGATATCTGAGGAAACAGTAAAAAAGACTGTTAAGAATCTTAAGTCAGGTAAAGCTAGCGGCCCAGAAGGGATATACTCAGAAATGCTGAAATGGGGAACTAAGAAGCTCTTTAAAGTATTATCAATAAATGCCTAAATGGACATCCAGTTCCACAAGACTGGAAAACGGCTTTTATATCATCCATTCACAAAAAAGGAAATAAGCTGGATTGCAATAACTATCGGGGCATATCAGTCACAAGCACGCTAAGCAGACTATACGGTAGAATCCTGCGTGATCTCATTGAAGAAGATTATAAAGAGCAAGAAGAAGAAGAGCAGTGCGGCTTTAGAGCAGGAAGATCAGGTACGGACAACGTATTTTGCATAAAACAAGTCATAGAAAAGAGATCTGCGAGATATTTGGAAACCCACCTCACATTTGTTGACCTACAAAAAGCATACGATACCAGTCCCAGTATCCAGACTATGGAAGGTATTGCAGCACACAAACATCAATCACACCTACATAACGGCACTTAAAGAACTATATAAAGACTCAAAATCAAGAATTAAGATAGGTAAAAAACTCACAGACACATTTATAGTAAATAAAGGACTACGTCAAGGATGTTGTATCTCTCCTACGCTTTTTAAAATATACGTAGCACTAGCACTGAAAAATTGGAAGAGGAAGATCCATGGAATGGGTATAGAGATAAATGATAGGTGCCTGTTTACTCTTCAGTTTGCAGATGATCAGGACATAGTGGCCAGTGACAAAGAGGACATGCAATATATGATTAGAAAGCTGATAGAAGAGTATCAAGAATGCGGCCTGAAAGTTAATATAAATAAAACAAAATATCTACGTGTAGGCAACTAGAACGGAAACTTGGAAGTGGATGATGGTCAGGAAATTCTGCAATGTCAAGAATATGAGTATTTAGGTATCACATTCGACAACACCGGAACAGACGTGAAAGAAAAAGAAAAGCGAATAGTTAAAGCTAAAAAAGTAATAGGATGCCTAAATGGAATATTATGAAGCAAGGAAATTACAAAGAAGAGAAAATTTATTATATACGAGACAATGATAAAGAGCAGCCTTCTATATGGACCCGAGACTTGGAGAATTACAGACAGAAAAAAGAAAAAAGTGGAAGCAGTTGAAATGGATGCTATTAGAAGATCCATGCGAATCTCACGAAGAGACAGAATAAGGAACGACAATATAAAACAACAAATGGGTATAGAAGGTACGATAGTCCAGGACATTGAAAAGAAACAACTTACCTGGTACGGACACGTAGAACGAATGCCAAATGACAGGTGGCCCAGAAAAATGCTGCATTGGCAACCAACAGGTAGAAGAAAACGAGGAAGACCAAAACTGGAATGGCAGAAGACCATACAAAAGTCCATGAGTGAAAGAAATCTCTCATCAGAGGATTGCGACGATAGAAGAGGATGGAAATTAGGTGTCGGACAACGAAGAAAGACGTTCTAAAACGACATGTATATATATACAAAAAAAAAAACATAGACAACTAATTAAGCAAACACTACTGATTTTGTCCAAAATCTCTTCAGAGATACGGGTATTTATCTCACCGTTGCCACTGTCAACGCATGTTCATTAACTTACTAATTAAACTACAAAAAGAATTAAGAATTAAATGTAATAACTGTAACTAATTATAGTAAAACGAATATGCAACAATATCAAAGTTACCCCGCGGAATCCTCCATGAGAGTACCTATTTTAGCTATCGTTGCCGCAAAATCTACTCTTTTTTTTGGTGGGTATAGATCTTTTGTCCTGCTTATCGCATTTCTTCAACTGTTTACCGGAATGTGATGAATTAGCTCTCCGCGTTTTAAGAATACTCTTGATTTTACATAAAATCAATCCTGGAGTGTGCATAGAGTAGTTCCTTAGCTCAGAGTGAACATTCCACAAACTCAACATGAATGCTATTTACAGCAGAAAAATATCTGATGTAAGGTGGTCGTTGCAACCGAATTATGTCTAACTCGGAACGCTGGCTTGGCTTCGATAGAAAAGCTGAAAGTGATCCGCTGTACTTTATTCTAGTAGCTTTTGGCGTTTTTAAGAAGTTTTCTGTATCTGGGTTGGGTGGAGGGAAGCTTATCCCACATAAATATATAAGCGTGCTACCATTGACTTGGATAGAATCCCATAAATTCACAAAACAATAAATCAACAGAACCTGGTGGAACATTCGAATCCTATGAGGACCCTACCTGCTTTAAGTATTTAATTCTTAAAGCATCTAGAACTTAGGCAGATCTATGAACAACGCAATGTTCTGGATACTGCGGGTCCAGCTTGAATCTGTTCACTAACAACAGCAACTTCCATTTAACTAATTGACTTTACAAAATTGATTTACCACTTATCGTCTTAACGGTATACATCAGTTCTCTTATTTTAACTGAATAACTTACAAACTGCGTGCTTTATATACAAATCGATCAAATCGATAAATCTCTGGAATCGCGTAAATGTTTGTTCACTTAAATCACAACAATGAAATAAATTCCTAAATATCCGCTCGAGTCCTAGCAATAGAATTTAGAAATACTGTACATTTGCTCTCGTAATAAGCCTACACTCTGTCAAGCTGCACCAGCTACTCTTCCGCGTCTATGCTTCCTCTCAGATCCATAATCTTCGCATCTATCATTCTCCATCTCCAGCAGTGACATGCCTTTTAAAGTCTTTTGAATAGTTTTGAACCATGTCTTCAGAAATAATGTTTTCTAGATCTGTGATCTTCGTCATACTGGTAATCATCTTCATCATCCCATCTATCAACTTGCCCAATATCTCTATAACTGTCAAATGATTGCCCTCTTGGATGCCTTTCTGTTCATCCAGGTATAGCTGAACCAGCCTGGTTCTTCTTCCCATGGACCAGAAAGAATTGCCACCTATTCTTTCTGACTCCCTTAGTTTTTTTGTCTGGTTTATTGGAGATCTATTGCCGGTTTCAAAAATAGTCCGATACTAATTGATCACTTTGAAGCTGCTCGCTGCTTCTTGATCCGTTTCAAATAAGAGGCTTCTTACAAGAACTCATTTACGCTTACCAATTCTTAGGCAATGCTTGCATTGAACTGAACATGGCCGGCTGGATCATCTGTTTTTATGCAGTTCACCAGAACAATGTTTGATTTGAAAATGGTACTGTTGCAATTTCTTCATTGGACTCCATTAAAGGCTGATTGCCACCAGAAAGAGAACGAGGTCTTAGCCATGCTCTACAGTCAGGTTAAAATTTCCTCTTTATCGGTGGCGTTAGCTTTCGGTGCCCATTTTTAGTTCCTCATTGAAGGCTGAGAGCCACCAGAAGCAGAGCGAGATCCCACCCGTACTCTACAGTGGAGTTCGAAATGTCGTCTTCTTGCGCAAAGGTAATATTCAGTGCCTCCTTTTCCCAATTCTCTATTTTCAGTAAATCTCTCTACTAATTAATTTTTAAGTAATTTTCTAATTTATTTTGTACGTCTTCTTCTGTTTTCATTTCCATTTCAATTAATACTTCGAAAGGTGTAGCTTCATACTTCGTTGCAAACTGAAATTTAGTGCTCACTGCATTCTTATCAAATGTTAAACCATTCTTCCGGATCCTCCTTGCTGGAATAATGATTCGAAGATATATTTGCACGATCTTTTTTGAGCAAATCACTTAACGGCTTTGCGTATTACAGTATGAATTTCTTGACTAAAATATTTAGGTTCTAAGGTTCTACAAATTTTTGAATAGCTTGTATTTTGTTCTAAGATTGTAACTTGTAATGCAAGATTTGCACAAGTAGCATATGGGTAATTCACTTCTGGAACACTCGAGGGAACACTGCTTGGCTCTTTTAAAGACGAAAAGGGCATTCTGAAAATTCAAATTGTCCGCTGCGCATAATAAAGGACACTTTTTCCTAGACACATGAGAAAAACCATTCTTTGAATCAATAATTATTATTGTACTGAAAAATATTGCTATTTGCAGTCGGTCTAATACGTCTTCGATTGAAGAAAGTGGAAATATCTTTCTTTGAATTTGAAGCTCCTCAATTTTTTATGAAGCGTAACTAACTGGATATTCCCCTTTTAGTGGAGCTGTTGCTCAAGGCTTCCATTATTCCTTTTGTGGTCTTATCTTTGATCACTTCCATTATATTGTCAGCCAAACACTGTACAATTGATTTTCTTGCCTCAGTATCGTCCTTTTTCCAGGATCTTTCTCCAGTTAAACTCTCTGGTCCAATACACGGACATTCCAATTCCAGGACATTACTATTCTAACTCCTGTGCGATCGGACGTTACCGTAAACTTCCAATTCGAAAACCCTGTTTTTCTTGCTAATCTCGTTTGGTCACCTCGACTTGGTCTACAATCTCGTCGTGGAATTATTATTCCTCACCCTTGGTTATAACACAGTTTAATATAATATACTTGAAAATTATAGACATTGACAAATTTTTTAAGAAATGTATAACAATTTAACAGAAGAATAATTTAACCGATGATGAAAAACTGACCCTTGTTCATATTATTTATTTAAAAGCTTTTATGGGAAGGAGTAGGTATACTAACTTTGCCATAAAATGCTCCAAATTATTCCCTAAAAGTTGTTTACTTATTATTCTATTTAGAATTTCTTCTTTGAGTCAAACAGTGTATGAAAGTCGTCCTCATGTTGTTATTAAATAACAAATCAAGTATTGTCGTTGACAACATTTTCTAAAACTAAATTAATTCAAATCTACATTAAATTTTATCATTGATCACTGCGAGGCTCTATTGTTTAAAAACTAGCATTTAAAAACCTAAACCTATCGTTGGCAGAACACATGAAATATCAGCGAAATGTAACATAAATATATTGTTAAATAAATCCCCTTAATTAACATTGACTGTTATTAAGTTATTATTAGGTTCTCTTTTTTGCAAATTATGAAAAAAAAAGCCAACTCAAAGAAAAAAAAAATGATGCGGGTATCCTTACCAAATAATCCTTTTTATCAAAGTAAAATGCGTAGCTTTAGCTTAAGGTGTAAAAAATAATTAAAATTTTGTATGTCTCTTGGGCGCTGTTTGTGTGAACGTGAATCACAGCATGGAAGATGTTTTTTAATTTTAAATTAATTTGATAAAAATCAACAATTTTTCTTGATAAACGATTAAAAGATAATTAAGTTTTGACTAAGTGGAAGCTCAAAACAAAAAAAATTGGCCTGTTTTAGGATTTTTTTTTTTTTCGAATTAGTCAATTTAGTCAAAAGTTAATCATCTGATAATTACTATCGCAGAAGTTTTCCTCTTAAAAAATGTCCAGTTTTTGTATTAAAAATATGTAAAATATTGTCCAAATATACCTTAAAATTCCGCCTATATAAGGGATGCGCAAGGGTTTTTTTTTTTTTTAGGAATTCCATCATTATTTTAACTATCCCGTTTAAGTACGTATTATCAGCTATGTAACATAGGATAGATACTTATTTAGAAAGAAAAGTTATTTGATTCTACAATTCAAATGTGTCGTTGAAAGCCCACCCAACATCAAGGATAATATCCTTTGTGTTTTCTGCAGAATCTTAGATAATATAATATATAATTTGAAGTATTATCTACTTAATCTGGCCTATATTTATCGTTAATAGGCTTTTTGTGAATAATTTTCCTTTAAGGTGGAATTTCTGAAATTATTGCAGATCCTTTGAGCATTTCCTAATAACCGAGGCGACGAATTTTCGACATCCCTCGTGATTTAAAAAACAAATATTGAGTTAATAAAAATATTTATTGTATTTAATTATTTAGGAAATTTTGCATTAGTGTTAATGATAATGATACCGCTTTTAAAGCAATTTTTTAAAGAAATTATGAATAAATAATAATATTCTAATTGTTCTGGTCTTTATTTAATCCTTTGAAAAAATAGTGAAGGTATCTTTTCCATTACAAAACGCGGAGGAAAGTGTTCCATTACTGTCGGAAAATCAATTTTAGCCTCGTAATTGATATAGGCCCATCCTTGTAACCCCTTTTGTTAACAATTTAACAGGAGGCCCATAATATGCTCAGTTTCCTCAGCGAATAATTATTAGGGGTGAATCGATAGTTTAATAAGTACAGAATGGCACGGGCGCCACTGAATTTGAAAAAATTAATCAAATGAGATAAAATATTGGGGTGTGAAAATTCAGAAACACACCTACAAAAAATAAACAGCAAACGGTAAAAATAGATAAGTTCTAAATTGAATTAGTTTATATTTTCACAGTCAGGTTAAAAATCTAGCATCTAATTTGTTACGATTTTGTCATTTATATGCTTTTCACTTATTATTGGCGTAGCATTATCCATGGAAATTTGGCAAGTTGACCCTCGTATAATAATGACAATGTATGTCAAATTCCAGGCAGTTTTAAGTTTGGTTTACATAATTTTGTGAGTGCCGCGGTATTAAAATTTTCTGGCCTATCTGGCAAATCAAATTTGACACATTTTTCAATGCATTTTTCAATAATGCTATATTATAAACGGTACCTAACTATTTGGCGTACCTGCAAAATCTAATGACATTTTTAAAAAGAATGAAACAATGGCTAATAAAAGTTCGTAATCCTTTACTAAATAGCCTCAGTGTCGAGAAGGCTTATAATAATTATAGAGTGTGAACAAGACATTTTCCTCGAGAATTTATTGTTGGCGATCCAAAAGCCAGACGAGGACTCACATGGAATGCTGCGCTTTTGCTGTATCTCCCTGAAGGTAAGCTAATACTAGATATATGTGAGCAAGACGTACTTAGGTACATTTTCACTTACTCCTTCCCATATTTCTAACTAACGACAACGTGTTAGAATTCGGGTTTAAAGGAGCATAGGTCAGAAACATTAAAATTAATTTCCATTTTAGCCCCAATTATCAAAAACAGTGAGGAGTCGTTAATTGATAAACCACAATCACCA